ATCTCTCATGGTAGCCAGATGGCTTGCAAAGAACCTCTGTCTTGGAGAAGTCAATGTCATGTGAGCCTACTGAATTATAACAGTGATCTGCCACGGCCGAGGTGTTGGTCCTACCATGTTTAAGGTCTGCTTTGTGTTCACGAATGCGGTCCGAGACATGTCGTTTGGTTTCTCCAATGTAACTACTATCACAGAGGCAACTTAGTTTGTAGACACCAGGGTACTGTATGTCCGGAATCACATCTTTTACAGACAGAACCAGATCACAGATTTTATGTAATGTGTTGAAACGGACTTGGATCTTGTGTTTATTCAACATGTTGGAGATCTTTTTTGTGATCCCCGCAATGTAGGTTAAAGTGATGGTTTTGAAAGGCTCCTCAAGAGGGTCCTTCTTCATGGTTTGAGTGATAGCTTTGCGGATTGTATAGTCGGAGTAACCATTAGCCTTAAGAGCTTGGTGTACGTGATTGAGTTCACTGCCTATGTGTTCCTGGTCGGATATGCATTGGGCTCTATGGTACAGAGTCTTGATGAGATAATTATTCTGTGATGGATGGTGGTGGGAATCCGGTTTCAGATAAGCATCCGTATGGGTAGCTTTGCTGTAGACAGAGTGGCTCATTGAACCATCAGGTCTCTTTTTTATTAGGACATCCAAAAAAGGTAGCTTGCCATCTTTTTCGACTTCCATGGTAAATCTGATGGCTGGGTGTATGGAATTGATGTGGTCGAAGAATTGGTCTAGAGCAGGCCGGCCATATGGCCTTATGGAAGAGGTTCGTGGATGACACTTTTGTCATCTGGCCACATGGCCGGCCTGCTCTAGACCAATTCTTCGACCACATCAATTCCATACACCCAGCCATCAGATTTACCATGGAAGTCGAAAAAGATGGCAAGCTACCTTTTTTGGATGTCCTAATAAAAAAGAGACCTGATGGTTCAAAAAGCCACTCTGTCTACAGGAAAGCTACCCATACGGATGCTTATCTGAAACCGGATTCCCACCACCATCCATCACAGAAGAATTATCTCATCAAGACTCTGTACCATAGAGCCCAATGCATATCCGACCAGGAACACATAGGCAGTGAACTCAAGCACGTACACCAAGCTCTTAAGGCTAATGGTTACTCCGACTATACAATCCGCACAGCTATCACTCAAACCATGAAGAAGGACCCTCTTGAGGAGCCTTTCAAAACCATCACTTTACCCTACATTGCGGGGATCACAAAAAAGATCTCCAAAATCTTGAATAAACACAAGATCCAGGTCCGTTTCAGCACATTACATAAAATCCGTGATCTCGTTCCGTTTGTAAAAGATGTGATTCCGGACATACAGTACCCTGGTGTCTACAAACTAAGTTGCCTCTGTGGTAGTAGTTACATTGGAGAAACCAAACGCCATGTCTCAGACCGCATTTCTGAACACAAAGCAGACCTTAAACACGGTAGGACCAACACCTCGGCCGTGGCAGATCATTGTTATTATTCAGTAGGCTCACATGACATTGACTTTTCCAAGACAGAGGTTCTTTGTAAGCCATCTGGCTACCATGAGAGATTCGTTCATGAGGCTATCCACATATACAAGCACAGAGACAATTTCAACCGAGAAGATGGATTCTGGCTTAGCAATTATTGGAAGGATTTGATAAACCATTTCAGGTCTTAATTGATTGTTCACGCTTACAGTGGCTTTCAGACAGCATACATTAATTTTTCGTCTCCCCCCTCCTCTTTTCAGAACATAGATGGACTAGTCCTTCTAAATAAACTGCCAAATCGCTGCGCGTGGCGCTGACGTTTTTTTTATAAATAAATACACCATTTAAAAATAAATAGATTAATGCAAACCGACACTTCTTTCAAATGTTTCTTGCCGTTGGTTTTTCACACCTGATGACGACCGTTTGTGTTATGGTCGAAACGCCGTGAGAATTTTTATTGTTTTATATATATTTTATTATGTTATTGTTTCCCTTCAACGTGACTTTACCGAAAGAGCTAAGAATAAGAATAGGTGTTAAGATGTTAGAACACCAAACTGAAGCCTTTCACAAGGAATCATGTCTGCATTAACCACAATTCAGACGTCCCAAAAGGTGCCTTTTGGCATCCTCTGGTCTAACACCGTTTAAAAAAGCTTAAAAGAAAGCTGTCTCTGGTGTGGATCAATCAATTTCAAAGACAATGCATATTTGATCAGTGTGTTTTTTTGTTTGCATTCTGACCACAAGCATTGTGGTTAATGCAGACATGATTACTTGTGAAAGGTTTCAGTTTGGTGTTCTAACATCTTAACACCTTACATTATGAGACCTCCTTTGCCAGTAACAAGATATAGTAATAGGTTTTTACCCTTTTAGCTGGCACAAAAACTGACACCTTTATACAAGGGATCATGTTTGCAATAACCACAACACAAGCAGTCAAAAATGCAAACAAAAAGAAACAACTCTGGTAATGATATGCACTGTCCTTGAATTTAATTTGTCCACACCCGAGATGGCTTTTCTTAGAGCCTAGTCTCCACTGGTGTTGGACCAGATGACACCATAAGGCGTACAACTCAAAAACAGCGCACTATCAGAGTATTGGGAGCTCGGGGTAAGCCTTTACATTATGAGACCTCCTATGCCAGTAACAAGATATAGTAATAGGTTTTTACCCTTTTAGCTGGCAGCTAAAAGTGTAAAAACCTATTACTATATCTTAACACCTGTTTTGTTGCCAGTAAAAAGGGGAAAACCCTATTCTCATATTTTAGTACTGGCAAAGGAGGTCACATGGTTGTTATATTTTGGTAGGAAAATAACTCTGTTAGGTATGTACGAGTTTCACGATAGTTAGAGGTATTCATTGTACCATTGTGAGCATTTCCGTACCGCCACAGCATGCAGAAGGGCTGTTAGGTGTGGTAGTGGTGTACACCACCTATATTTGGAGGAAAGACTGGTTGATTTATAAGACACTAGCAGAAAGTACCTGGCTTTACCCGGGGGAAAATATATTTCAAAACTTGTCTTCTCTCAAAAACACAGCATATACATACACAAATACAAAGTTATTGTATCAGCCCGGTGTTCCGTTTGTCTGTCCATTTGTCTGTCAACAAAATGATAAGATCCTTTCAGAATTCCTGAATCAAAAAGTTATAGAAAGTGGGGGTTAAATAGTTGCTCTAAAAATTTCGAAAATTATCGACCCCCTCCCACTCCAAAAATATTTTTACCCCCTCCCAACCTAAGTTTATTTTATTTTGTAGGCATATATAGCTCCACACCCTACGAAAAAACAGTCAGTAGTATCTAGTGACTCTATACTAGTGCCTACTCACTCTAAAGTTACATCTAGTGATTATATAGTAGTATCTACTGACTTTACAGTAGTATCTAGTGACTCTATAGTAGTATCTACTGACGCTACAGTAGTATCTAGTGACTCTATATTAGAATCTGACTCTACAGTAGTATCTAGTCACTCTATAGTAATATCTAGTGACTCTACAGTAGTATCTACAGACTATAATAGTATCTTCTGACTGTAATAGTAACTACTAACGCTATAGTGGTATCTGCTGACTCTATAGCAGTATCTGCTGGCTCGATAGCAGTATCTACTGACTCTACAGTAGTAACTACTGACTATAGTAGTATCTACTGAGTCTACAGTAGTGTCTACTGACTATAAAGTATCTACTGACTTTACAGTAGTATCTACTGACTCTAAAGTAGTATCTATTGGCTCTATAGTAGTAACTGCATACATTGGGGTGGGGGGGAGAAGAGGACATCACACTGTTCAGGATTTACCTCAGAGTGTGCTTGTGCAGTAATAACTGTGCTTGATTTTTTTATTTTTGGCATTTTAAACGCGATGGAGAGCCTCCCATCGCAGTTCAGAAAGCTTGTTTGCATTTCTAGGGGCAACTACGAGTCGGCGTTTCTGTGCATGTGCAGATGCGTGCATGTGCAGATGCGTGCTTTGATGAGCTCTCAAAGTTATCATTACAATCAGCGAGTTTTCGTCGGGGGGGGGGGGGGGGGGGCTTAGTTTGTTGTATTTGTGTAGGATAGGCGTCCACACACACATAGACATACATACAGACACAAATTAACTTTTATAGGTGTGAGAAGCACGCTTGCGAGGCCAGGAAGTGGCCAAAAGATTGGGAGCACAAAAGCTAGGTGGCCGACTTCTCACGCCAATGTTGGCACTCACTCTGCATGTGTGGGTTTGTATTCGGTGCTACGGATCCCTCCAGCCTGTTCAAATTTTCAACAAGGGGTCGGCCGTGTGTCCTAAACAAGAACCTGGTTGTGACGAGTCATGGACCTCGGTTGAGGCTTCCTTTCGTCACCGTTACTCAAAGTCAAAAGTAATTGCTTTTTTGCACAAATGAGTATTAAGGAGGTACTCATTTCCTGTGATGGAAATTCCACATTTCTATGGCAGGGATGAGCTTCTCCATACACGTTTGACTTTGCCACAAAGTGTACCCGTTTTAGCACTCCCCAAATGGATGATGGGCTGACTCAACCAGGGTTTGAACTCGCAACCTTCCGATTGCGAGCCTCTCCCTCTACTGCCGAGCCATAGAAGCCCACCCAACCCCCCCAATGTGAGCCTTGTTGGCTCTAGGCAACTGCAGTAACTATTATGTATGGGCAATTATTACATTGCACATTTCATATAATCATGTGGAAATTTATAACAGCCAAATACTCTAAACGCACATTTATAAATGTGGAGGGAAAAACCGGAAGACCCAGAGAAAAATCCATGTAACCACAGGGAGAGAGAGACATGCAAACTCAAAATATACATGTGTCAGGGTCGGGATCAAACCCACGATCTTCTGTATACCAGGCGTGGTAGTTACCACCGTTACCACCACCGAATTGAGCTGCCATGCGGCAGGCGCGCTGACCCCTGGCAATTCCTAGCCACCCCCACCTCCCCTCACACATGCACGGCGGTCCTTCCTACCTTCTCCTCTTTGGGCTCGACGGTGACCTTGCTGTCCCAGGCCCAGCTGCGCTTGGTGAAGTAGTTGACAGTGGCGAACTCGATGAGCGCCGAGAAGACGAAGGCATTGCACACGGCGATGAACCAGTCCATGGCCGTCGCGTACGCCACCTTGGGCAGCGAGTTGCGTGCGCTGATGCTCAGTGTCGTCATGGTCAGCACGGTCGTCACACCTGCACCGCGGGCCGGCATGCTCCCGTTAACTCGCCGAGTCGGCGTCCCGCGCCTCCTAACCCGAGAATCTTGCTGGCCGCGTACGCCAGTGGCAGTGGCCTGAGGGCCCTTGTGTGCACGCCGAAACGGCCGGCGCGAGGCCAACGAAGACGAGCATGCCCTCGTCCATTGCCATGATAAAGTTTTTTTTTGGGGGGGGGGGTTAGGTTGAGTCAATACGAATGCATCGTTAAACCTGCCACTGCCACCCAACACAGCCAATTAGTAAGATTTAGTCATGTAAACAAAACGTGCCGATTGCGAGCCACTCCCTCACCGCATAAATAAAAGTGCAAATTCGTAATGTTCACGTGACAAACCTCACTAATTGTCGATCTAACCCAAAAACACCTTTACTATGGATAATAGTGGTCGTGAAAGCCTACTACGTATTAAACACATCCATTCCCACTCCGTTTTATGGGCCACGAAACCGAATTCTCCTAAAGGGTGTTGTGAAGGTTCATCAAGGCTTCACAGAAGTAAGATTTCCTGTAAATGATAGTGAATCACAGGAGTGTATTGCAACTATGAGGCTTTGTTTGGATTAAAAGGATTCCTACGATTCGAAAATTTACAGGTCCATGAAATAAATTAAACTCATCACTTTGTTGATTTGTCCACTTTTTGGGAATGTGATATCGGCACATTTTTCACAAGAAAGAATATGGACGAAAATGAACTTGCATCATGAAATGTGGCCATAAGTGTCTATTGGAATAAGACAATGACAAATGTTAGTATTGTATTACCATATGCAGTTATGGGTAATTTTGCTCAGTCAATAAGTTGTTGGCCCACTAAACTGTCACATCATTTCCCACACTTGTAATCTATGTAACATATGCTTTTGTATTGTTATATTTTTCTTGATTTATATTCTCACGAATCATATATAACTTTGGCACAACAGTCATTTCATGAGGTGAATTAATGTTCTTCTCTAGCTCTTTAGTCAGCAGAACAGATCTTGTCACAAAATAGTTCAGAGCTACATCTGAAGTTGCATCAATAAGACCCCTATTGCCACACCTGGGCCGGAGTTAATTCACACGCTATAGAGCACGGTTTTCCACATGCTGCTCATTTGAAATTAGGAATCTGTAAATATTACCACTCGAGCGGTGGGCGAGACCGAATTAAGCGAACAAGTAACTCGTGCTGGTTCTCACGCCATCTGTGGTGACCTGGCTGAAACTGTCAACACGTGATGCTCAAGAAGTTATTCCCTCAATGGTAGTGATGATTTTTCACCAGTAGCACTTGCTTAGTGCTGTGCCATACGTACGCCACCGTGGAGCCAAACAGCGACCACAAGTGACAATATTTCTAAATGTTCCATTTGCAGAGCGTGAAATTGCTCAGTAATGTTAGATTTAAATTGTGAGGCAACTGAAGTAGCGCTGCGCGAGCCACTTGCCCGACTATTCATCCACAGTGTGAAGCGCCATGCACTGCACTCATTTATAAATTGGCAGGCATGCAGAACTGTTCTCTGTTTGGGGGAAGAGCAAGGCATATCAATGCTGGGCGAGTTAAAATAAAATGTCATAGATAATCCATGACTGAACTGTAAAAACTTGTGACCGTCAACGTGTGATATTTGCAATTACCATGGACAACAATCATACCTTAAGAAAATAAATCATGATTGAACAAGAGACTTTCCAGCCGGGTGGCTCTGTGGCAGAGTGAACACAGGCAATCAGAAAGTAGTGGATTCATGTGTCGGTCGAGAAACCAACTCAGCCCATCATTCCTACAGAGATGATCAAATTAAAATCACCTTTTGGAACGTCAACATTGGCAACGTTTGGGTGAGACTATTTTCTGTGACACAAGGATGAGGAATTTATACCTCCGGCCCAGTGCTGCCAACAAAGCATGAATCCCTTCCTTGGCTCATTCGATCGTTTGGTGGAGGCGATTGCCTTGATTAAGTGTGGATTATTCTCGCCATCTGCCGCAACATCAAACCGTGCTGCACCGAAGAGGATCTAAGCCACAGATGTGATGGGAGGAGGTGGAGGAAACAACTGCGCCGCTAAAAATGCATGGTGCGGTGGCGGTAGCAGCAGCAGCAATGTTTGTCTCTTGCTCCTCGATCTCACCGCAGCAGGCTTGAGAGGGAAGGGGCGCCTGATATTTTTAGCTGCGTCACTGAGGAAATGTGCAATGTTAACTTTTCATCACAAGGTGGACCCAGCGAATGGCGATTAGACAACAGTGCGGGAGAGATGCTGAGCTCTCTACGCTGCCAGATCCTCGAGCTTAATGCAAGCGTCATTATAACCAATACCTGTTAGTCATATTATTACGCATCACCTATATATAAATTAGTTATGCAAAGCAAGAGGTGTGCGTATATTCAGGGTAGTGTCTAATATTGTCGACAATTAAATTTAAATCGCAAATCTCTATGCTTAAGGAACGTTGTACATTTAGTGCCTTAACGCCTCTGTGACTGAAATGGATATTGTGATACAAAGGTATAATAATGTGACCACTCAACATAGCCATAATTTAATCCCAACCCAAATGTACTGTTGCAAAGAATAAATCTGTCCATAATTAATCACGGACAGATTGATTATTAATTAATTAATCACGGACAGATTGATTATTTGTAACAAATTGGTTCTATAAAAAGTAACAAAGACTTTATTCACATTCTAAGAGGGTATTTTTTGCATGCCATGCTCACACAAGTATTGTGCTATCATGAAAATTTCACAACGGTTGAATGAGCATTGGGTAGTGTCTATCTTATTTGGCAGGCCAGGGCCAGGAATGGAATTTCCACATTCCCATGGCAGCTTCCCATGTCTCAATACTACCACCTGTTTAGCTTGTTGTCCTTTCCCGCACCTCTGATGAGCACGGTTGGCTACGTCTGGTGCGAAAGAAGATCAACAGACATACATACATACACACAATACCATAACCACTGCTGAACTCACACAAAGAAGTTTTTAATTTATAGATACCAGATAGATGATGGGTCGGGATAAATATTTTGATTGCAAGAGGAGTGTTCTGCCGCAGGATAACCCAGCAGAATATCATATATATGCATCATAAAATATGGTACTCTAAAAAAATGCAGTTCGGGTGTCTGTTCAAAAATGCCATGGAAATGCATACCACTCTGATACAAGCAGTGTACTGATATGAGAAAGTGTACCAGCTAGAGTCATGGGAAATGTAGCAGAATGAGGGTACCCACCAAACACTGTCCGTGCAGGGACTGACTCTCTGTTGAGCCAAAAGGACACCTGGGACAAGATGACCGTCATGATGCAGGGCAGGTACGTCTGGATGACAAAGTAGCCGATCTTCCTCTTCAGGTGGAAGTATATGGTCATCACCGCATATTCTCCTGCATGGGAATGAATATACAGATTGTAAACAGAAACATATCATGAGAAGTGTTTGGGTTATCAAGGTATAAGGTCGCGCTCGTCACACACAAGTGCTCGCCATAAATGAACCAATGAGCATAAACTATCATCATGCAAACGCCGGTCATCGTCGCAGCGGCTTTTGGCTAGCCATCGAATAAAGACAGACACCACATCTCGTGCTTTCAGATGCACTTCTGCAGCCGTCTGGAACACTCTTCCTTCCGATAGTAGAATGCCACTGGAGCTATGCACTTTTAAAACTAGATTGAAAACTAATTTCTTTAGAACTGCTTGTGTTTAATTTGTTGTCCTTCCCTCCCACACCTCCAATAAGCGCAGTTGGCTACATACAGTGTGAAATAAGTTCAACATACATACAGGTGACCCCTGACTTACGACGGCTCGACTTGTGACCCTGCTTTTACGACCTTTCTTATAGTAAGACCCCCTGCCCCCCGCAGTAACGACCAAAACGCCACTGCTACCGACACTGAGTCGATTGGCGACAAGTATGCACCTTCCATGCGCACACTCGTCACCAGATGGCGCTGCTTTTGCTCTTCGGCCATATGCTTATGTACAGTGACATGCATACGTCATGGGGCATTACTCTGTGATTTGTGCCGAAATATTCATCAGCTGGAATGCAGCGTTCAAATCCCAGACTTCCACCTGAGATCAAAGTGGGTTCCCTTGTGGAAGATATTATTTGCTCTCAGGCTGCCTGTTCACAGTCACCAGGAACTGTCGGTGTTGCAGATACAGATGAAATACTTTTTTACGAGACTGGTTCCCGCCATAGTAATGCGAACTTAACACCACCGGTCACAAAAGGTGATGAGCACTGTTCAATGATTACTTGTGCAGGGATACACCTTTGGCCTTATTCTAATGTTGGGGGATATGCAGTGTGGAATCGGGCCGGTGTACAATGGGCATGCCATGCCGGCACTTCCTAGAACGGTTATCATTGCCATTCTTTCTGCAGAGGTTAAATGCCAGTGAACATGGGCTGCAGAACGCAGAGGTTTTACACTGGGACTTTGACCATAATACAGGTTTTTTGTTTGGGCTAGATCGCATAAATATAAATGTCATTAAACCCGCCACAACCTGACAGCCAATTAGTAAGGTTTGTCAAGTACACAGAACATGCCAATTCGTTACTAGTACAGCAAACCGTGTTTTGGAGAGTAAATCCACAACATTTAAAATCCGAGTACGTTTCACCAATAATTGCAACCAGCATTATGAGGCGACAGCCAGATTTGTGACAGCTAGAAGAGGGACTTCTACACTGACATTCCGACATAATTAAGAGTTGTCAACATGTCACCTGTGTTATATTATTACGTATACACCGAAAACGCTGTATGCCATTGCAGATTTTTTTACACTGACTTGTAAATCTGAGAAATCAACATAGGCTTCAAATATTACACGGAGACATTTTCATGATACAGATTACACATTTCCACAGTGAATCTTGAGTCAATACACGGACACTTTAAAATTAATTCATAGACTTTTGTCAATATCTTCACAATAATTAATATACAAAGTGTCAAATGCACTGAAAATGGTGGTCAGTGGTTTAATGCAGTGTTGTTCATTGTGTAATGACCGAGGCAACAGACCACTTATCTCACATAAGCGTACGTGTGAATGGACAGTCAGGAAGTCAATTAAGGCCTCTGATTGGTGCAGGGAGGCCTCAAAAACGATTGGTTAGGATAAGAGATTCAAAGGGATTGGAGGTGAGATTCAAACGTAAAAGGCGGGGAATGAGGGTTGACTGAAGGGGCGACGGTTGACGACCGTTGGAGGAGGAGTACGAGGATTGGCTGAAGGAAATGGGGTCAGCAAATATTCTAGAAAGGGGGCTCGGAGGATATAAAAGGGGACAGCACAATGAAAGTGGACAGTTGGAGAGAAGACGAAGTTCAAGCCTGAAGAACAAAGCCCGGGACTAGAAATAGAGTTGTGTCCGAATAAAGCCTCTTAAAGCAAGAACGTTTGTCGGTGTCACTATAACAGGTATCAGAAGTTTCAGTTTCGTTTCAGTTTAATTTATTCTTGGTTCTTTCTGTAAAGTCACGTAGAAAGGAAACAATAATATAAGAATTGTATTGTTTTATATTTTTATTATTTTATTGTTTTCCTTCTACGTGACTTTACCGAAAGAACCAAGAATATGACGTACATAAACAATAAAATCCTACAGAAAAAGCACCACCCGTTCATGCAGCATACAAGAGGTGCAAAAAATAAATTTCGATGTTTGATCCCAATAACAATCATAATTCAATACAGATCAAATTTTAAAGTATAAATCTATACTAAATAAAAAAATCGGGCCAAACCAAGCAAGTCTAAAACATACTAAAACAATGCTATGTAAACAACATAACAGTTTTCCCAACAAATGTGATTAAAAGTTTACAATAGCGACACACACAACACACATCACTAAACCTAGCATCCTTTGCTAGCTGCATAAGTCAATCCCTAACAGCCAGATTAACAATAGCAGTAGCAGCGCACTATAATCAAAATACATTATAATTTCATACATCGGTCATCTATAGCTATATTTTTCATTTCAGGCCACAGGATAGCAGTGGCAGCTATGGTTGTATGACTCCTCGAGAGCATTTTTGAGTGATTGTCTTGTTGGTAATGATCCAAGCTGGAGTTTATTTGCGATAGCATTCCAGACCCTGGGGGCATCTATAGCAAAAGCCCTTTCTCCGGTATTTGTACGGCAATTAGGAATGCGAAGCTGGTAAATGAGCGAAGATCTTAGCTCATATTTGTTCTTCGAAAGAGTGAGGAGATCCAGCAGGTAGTCTGCTGATTTTTTTGTAAGTACATCGTGGATAAATAAGATCTGATGCACAAGCTGTCGATCATTAAGAGATGTTAAGTTTGACCCAAATGTAGAGATCACAGTGGTGGGTCCTATATGGGCAGTTCAATGCAAATCTTCAGGCCGAGTGAATAATTGAGTCAAGCTACTTGAGTACAGTACTGGGGGCTGATTTATATACGATGTCACAGTAATCAAGTAGAGGCAGTATGGTAGCTTTTATCAATTCCAAACCGAACATAGGGGGGAAGCAGTGCTTGTGTCGATACAGAAAAACTATTTTTATTTTTGTCTTTTACCAATATAATCAATGTGATCTTGAAAATTCAGTTTTGAATCAAGGATGACCCCAAGATACTTATAGATCTTGACTTACGCTATTTGATAATTATATTTTGAATGTAATTGGGGGGAAATCACGTCCTGCTTTAGTCCTTGGTTTTGGCGGTATTCAGGACTAGTTTAAGAGCAACCAGCTGATGTTGTAGTTTGTTGAAATCACCCTGGAGCCAAGCAATCACGTCATCAGGAGAGTGGCAAGCAGTAATTAGTATCGTGCCATCTGCAAAAATATTTACCCTGGAATGATCCAGGTCAGTGCCTAATTCATTAACATAAAGAGATAACAAGAGGGGGCCGAGGATTAAACCCTGTGGAATCCCTTTTGTTATATTACCACTGTTTGACCTCCAACCATCTGTGAAGACAGTTTGGGTGCGAGAAGAGAGGTAATTTTTAACCATTTTACTGAGTTTTTGGAGAAACGGAGAAAACCTAGTTTACTTAGCAAGATGTTGTGGCCTACTGTATCCAAAAGCTTTTGATAAGTCAAGAAAAAGACTGGCACAGGACTGCATTTTACCAAGGCTACTGTAACTGTGATTGAGAGAGTCTAATGCAGCGGATGCGATGCTGTATTTTTTTCGGAAGCCTGATTGTTTTCTATTCAATATATTGCTTTCCGTCAAGAAACTTCTAATTTGATAGATTAGTAATTTTTCAAAAATTTTCATTAACGGAGACAAAATTCAGATCAGTCGGTAGTTATTTTGATCATCTTTCGGGCCTCCTTTGTGAAGTGGATGAACATAGGAGTGTTTCCATTCCATAGGTACTGATGCTTCTTTGATGGATAGGTTGTAAATATGGGCTATCGGTTTGTATATTAGGTGACCAATACTTGGAGTCTCTGAAAGATGGTGTGCACAAGCCAATGAAATAGTGTATAGTAACGCATTGTATAATTCAAGGGTGGGGTTTGTCTATGGCAGTGTATATTAAGGTGTATAGTCGTGTAATTTAGAATAAAGTTTAGTTGGAGGCATATCAATATAATGCATAATGTTAGAGCTTACATTGGGCTGTGTATACGATATTATACAATGTAGTTTAGATTGGAAGGTATAATATTGTAATGTATAGTAGTCTAGTTTGTAGCATAGTAGTAACGCAACATAGGACAGAGCAGCGCATTGTTGCTGTTTCTTCTCTCCCCCCTCCTCCATTCCGAGCACAGATGGACTCGTACGTCTGAACAAAGCTCGTCGCTTTCCGTGGTGCTAACCACAGTGGTGCTAACGTTGAAAAGAAAAAAGAAACCGCCACTTTTTTCCGACATAGTTTCGACAAATTTTGATTTAAAGCTTTCGTGACTGCAGTAATTCATATTCTTAGTTTTTTCGGTAAAGTCACGTTGAAGAGAAACAACAAAATAACAAAATATATATAAAACAATAAAAAATTCCCACGACGTTTCGACCATAACTCAAACGGTCATCATCAGGTGTGTCGGTTTGCATAAATTTATTTTGAAAACGGCATATTTATTTATATATATAAAAATAACGTTTGCGTCACGCGCAACGATGGCAGTTTGCCAGGACTAGTCCATCTATTTTTTGATTCTGATTCAACCGCATTAATTGATCAATCTAAACAGTTTTCGTTGAAACCTTCTGCTGCCAGGCCACCAAGATTATACGGCTTACCAAAAATACATAAAGTTGATACACCTCTTCGTCCCATAGTCTCTACTATCAGCTCCCCCACCTACAAACTAGCTCGTTTTTTGTCTGAAATCCTGCGTCCTTTCACTGGAAAGACCAC